GAACAAAGCCCATTTTGCTTTACCAAAAACAATGGTGTTGATGATACAAGTAAATATTTCATCTCAGGACATCAGTTCTGAGTAGTTGGAAAACAGGTTCTGGGGAGTGAACCCCTTGTAACAGGAGCTGTGGAGAGTCCCAAAGACAAACTGCTGTTTGGATCTTAGAATTGCATTTGCATTTTGGCATATTGATTTGAGGCAAACGTTAGATTCCCAAAGCGTATCACCACTATTATTCCTTTCGACATCCTTTTTTTCCAATCTCTCTGCTTCTCATGAACAAGTTCAGAGGCATCTTGTTTCATGATTTGATGCTCAACTTCCAAGCCTTCTCTGCTTAGACTTTCCTAGTTGACTACTTTATCTCTTAATGTGTGCTCCCAGCAAGTCATGAGATTCTGCCCTCCATTCATTCATACGTTTATTTAATCAACATGTATTGAATGCTTACCCTTTGCACTTTGCAGAATGCCAGGGAGACAAAGCATGCGTCTTGCCACAAAGAAGCTCAACTAGAGGGCAGAGAGATGAGTGAACAAGTGATTATCACACCATACACCAGCGCCCCTATTCACTGGCCGTGGTCTGTTCTTATCTCCTGCTACCTCTGCTGCAGCCTTAAGCCAAGCTCCCTGGACATTGGCTAACTCTCTGGCAGGATCTAACAGAAAACTGGGATTTTATTTTTAATTTTTAAAAATTTATTTGTGTTTTTAAAGATTTTATTTATTTATTTGACAGAGAGAGAGAGATACAGCAAGGGAGGGGACACAAGCAGGGGGAGCGGGAGAGGGAGAAGCAGGCTTCCTGTCGAGCAGGGAGCCCGATTCGGGGCTCTATCCCAGGACCCCGGGATTATGACCCGAGCTGAAGGCAGACCCTTAATGACTGAGCCATCCAGGTGCCCCGAAAACTGTGATTTTTAGAAGGGGGGGACATAGTGCAAGATCTGTGTTTTGTAGACCTGCAGAAGGTACTTGTTATGGCAGAGATCAAAAACTTAGGTGCCTCTTTGGGGCGAGCCACAAAGAGTGAAGGCTGAAGAGATAGGCTACCTGGGGAGCGCTGGGGACTGTAGCATATTGGAGAGCATGTGTCCCATCCAGAAGGGTCAGTGCTTCAAAGCTCCAGTCCCTTTAAGCCAAACAGAATATGGCTCCAGTGTGGCTATTTGTGATTTATCAAGGAAAGCTGAAAGGCTAGTTTTTATATGAAATCACCTGTTAGGGCACCTGGGTGGCTCAGATGGTTAAGTGTCTGCCTTCAGCTCAGGTCATGATCCCAGGGTCCTGGGATCGAGTCCCGCATCAGGCTCCCTTCTCCTTGGGAGCCTGCTTCTCCCTCTGCCTCTCTCTCTCTCTCTCTCTGTCTCTCATGAATAAATAAATTAAAAAAAAAATGAAATCACCTGTTAGTATCAAATTCTGGGTCTTTAAAAATGCTGTACTGGCCAAGCCTCCATGCTGGGCTTCTGGCCACCACCTCATTTCCTTTGTTCTTCTAAGAAGCATTTGTGCAGCACACTGCACTGAGATTTGATTTCCACTTTTGGCCTTTCTTCCCAAAGGCCATTTGACCTGGAGTGAGTTGCCCCTCTTTGGACCTGAGTTTGTCATCTCTATGAGAAGTACAGCCCCAACAAGTCTTGAAGGGCCTGAATCTGATAATCCATGGTTGTGGCACTGTTTGCATATAATTGCTTTGTGGACATCACTCTGTCCCTCTCCTCTCCACCCCTTTGGCCAGTGAGGAAAGGCTAGCTTTGGGTCAAAGCGTTTCTTAAAAAGAGGCTTTTATAAAGCAGTGTAGAATCATCTTAGATATGGATTTGGAAGTTATGAAAGAGGACTCAGATCTCCTTGTCCACCGTGCTAGCTAAGGAATGTGCACGAGGCTGTGTAGATTTTATTGACTTTCCTGCATTAGAAAGCTGCTCTCTTTTTATATCAAGTTGGTAAATGGCATCAAAGTACCTAGGAAGACATAATTCACCATTACTATGGACTACTTCTTTGCTTCTACCAACAGGATCAGGTCATTAAAAGCAGTTAAGATCCATGATCCCATGAACCACAGAGTCCCAAATCAGAGTGGCCAATCACTCATGGGATATCAGCATATTGGCCTCTTCATGATCTGTGCTAAATTAAGATCGGCCTTCTCCTTGAGATTTTGGCATTTAGTTGCTATTTACATTAGAAAGTAGTTACCTAATCTGGTAATTTGGTTCAACAAATATTGCATAAGCCATCTGATATTTTAAACAATTTAAGCTCCAGGAGTAACAGCCCCATAAAGGGTGCGTGTTAACAGTGCTTTATGGAACATAAATTAAAAAAGAGCATTTTTCCAGCTGTAGTTGGATACTTGGGTTGGTGTTTCAGCAGACTGCATAATCAGCACAAAGCCCAGGTCATTAGAGTCGGCTGGCAGGAATCAGCAAACCTGCAAATCACCAGGAGAGCCCAAATACGCCTAGATGAAGTGGTCCTTTGAAATCTCACTGTCTGTTGAAAGCAATACAGGAGACCATGACCTCACATGTAGGTGTGAGCAATTGGTCTTATTTCCCCTGGAGAGTATGAGGCCTTCACCAACCCCATTGCTTTTCTATTTGCAACCAGCTAAAGGCCTCCCATTTCACTTAGAATAAACTGCAGACTGGCAGACTGGTTGCTGTAGCTGGCAGTCTTCACAAACTTGCTCCTGCCTAGCTCCCTGCCCTTATCACTGTCACTTGTGACTTTGCTCACTCGGCTGCAGTCTAGTTGCCCTTGTTGCTGATCTTCAGACACCCCGAGTTCCTCCCTGCCTCGGGACTCTTGCACTTGTTGCTTCCACTCCCTGGAAAGATTTCTCGCCAGATCCTTTCATTGCCTGCCTCTCCTCCTCACCTCCTGTGCTCTAGCTTTACTTTCTCAGAACGGTCCTCTTGGACCATTGCAGATAACACCCCTTCCTAGTTACTCTGTTTTGTTTGGTTGGTTTTTTTGTTTTTTTGTTTTTGTTTGTTTGTTTGTTTTATTGGAGTATAGTTGACACACAATGCTACATTAGTTTTAGGTGCACAACATAATGATTGGACGATTCTGTATGTTATACTGTGTTCACTACAGGTGGAGCTTCCGTCTGTCATCACACATTGCTGTGACAATACCATTGAGTATACTCCCTATGCTGCCTTTCATCCCCAGCCTCATTCAGTCCATAGCTAGAAGCCTGGACCTCCCACTCCCCTTCACCCATGTTGTGCATCACCCTACCCTCTCCCCTCTGGCAACCATCAGTGTGTTTTCCATATTTATGGGTCTTCCCAGTTACTCTGTGTCCTCTTAGGTTGTTTTGTTTTCTGCATAGTGCTTTTCCTCATCTGGAAATTTATTATTTATTCATTTGCATATTTACTTATTATCTATCTCTCCCACTACAAAATAGGCTTCCCTGGAGTTAAAGATGTATATCCTGCCAGATACTAGCTGGAGATCTTGGGCAAGTTACGTGGGCTTTCTGAGCCTCAGGTTCGTCACCTGTAATATACAGATAGCTGTAGAAGTTGGAATACCTGGGGCCCACTCTCCCTCTCGGGGATATTGTGGGGAGTAAATGAGAGCACCAGGAATGGCCCCGCCTTGTGACCCAGTGTATCCTCCCCCTTACAGAGCTGCAGCTCAATGACCAGCTCACTTCTCAACCTGTCAGTCGGCCAGTGTTTCATCATCCAAAAGGTCCTTAAAACATATGCTCATTATAGAAACTTGTCATATGTGATGTAATTCTTTTGTGCGTGTGCTTTTATTTCTATGAGTATATAAATATATGTTTTCACCTAATTGTATCGTTATTTACATGTTTGTATCTTCATATTATTTGTTAATCTTGTACCTTGAATATTCTCCAAAAAGTCATTTTGAATGCTAAAACTATATTATACCATGCTTTAACTTAACCATTGCTTTATTATTGGACGTTTAGGTTGCCTTTTTTTTTTCCTCTGGATAAATATTACTACCTTGAACATCTTTATGCATGAATACCTCACTGGACCTTTTATTAGTTTCTTAGAACCCCAGTAAGTGGAAATCACACATTTTTTGAGCTTCCTTGTGTCTGTGGTTCCCTGTGCAGCCCTATGGGGATTCCACATAAGTCCCAAACTCTTAAAGAAGCCACAGTGGTTGAAGAGATGACGTTCAGGCACAGACTGCAATGGGGAGCAACCACAGCCAGTTTGCAGTTGAGGAAGAGCTGAAGGAGGTTGTGGCAGACAAGGGCGCTGGAGGAGTTCTGGGAACGGAAAGCCAGAAGGTGGGGGGGAGGTGCCGTAGAAGAGCTGCACAGAAGGCTGGATTTGGCGGGGGTTTGGGAGGGAGGGTCAGGAGAAGAGAAGGCATTTGGGGTAGGAATTGCCTCCATGAAGGCATGGAGTCAGGAGCAAGCCAGCCTGAGAGCACTGGGCAGATGAGGTGAGGCAGCTCGGATGGGGCCAGGAGTGACGGTGCCCACAGTCATGTGCTGGGCAGTTACACAGAGGCTAAGGATTATTACCATCATTCCGAGCACACAGGGGTCTGCTCGGAACCACAATATGAGCCATTTGTACAAAAGACTGAGATGGAATCCAAATAACAGGTCCAGCTGCTCCAAATACCTCCCTCCCTCTGCAGTTAACATTTTACTACCTGACCGAGTAACTAATGAATCTGGCCCAGCATAAATCCCCAGGCACAAATCCCTGCTTGGGGTCTGTGTCTAGACATCCAGACCTGAGTGCAATTTGCACTTTGAACATTCAGCGCCTTATCACTTGCAAGAAATCAGGTTTAATGGGGAAGATAGGGAGGTGTCGTTCCCACCCCCTCCCTTTGGCACAGTGACTGTGGAGTAAGGGTCTCCGGGATAATGAGCGCATCAGGCGATGGAGAGGTCGTAATCGTGTTTGTTATGTGGCTCTGGCCATTCAGAAGCACTGACGGGGAGGTTTCTCCATCTCATTGCAGGCTGTGTTTTGTGAAGCTCAAGCTCCTAATGATAGCCATTGAGTACAAGTCCGCCAACCGAGAGAGCCGGTAAGTTCGCCACAGCCCAGCGGCCGGCTGACGTTTACGAGATGGTGAGAGTGCTTTCGGAGAGCTCGGTCCACCCACTTCTTTCTTACACGTTATTGACGTGCTTGGACCCCTGATGTGACACATCTCTGACCCTCGGGCACATCTCAGAGCATGCCCAACCGCCACTTCTATCGCAGACCCACCTGCCATCCCAAGCCCCACTGGGCATTCAGAAAGTGTTTCTCCAGAGGACAGTGATGAGGCATCCAGATCTCCACCTGATTGGGCCAACTTACACTTTTCACCCTCTCTGCACAAAACCAGGAACAGGCCCTGTCCTCAAACCCCTGTTTACTGTCGTGAGCACGAAGCAGGTGGATTCTGGCCTCCTTCACAGCAGGGATGGGGCAGGGCCATGATGGGACACACCAGCTCTCTTGATAGCCAAATTACAAGCAGCCTATTGTGTACCATATGTGCTTTTCCCGGTGCAACCGAAATCCAGGTGGCAGAATATCAGCTTCATGTAAATTAGCCAGGAGAGCGGGGCTCAGAGGCAGGAGCCCTCTTTATTTATTTATTTTGCACTTAATTATGTACAGATCAGACTGATGAGGGACTGGGTCAGGTTGAAATAGATAATAGCCCAGTCAATATATGAGTTCACACTGGAAGAAGGAAGCATCCCATTAACAGGGGAGTTTGTTGATGCAGGACTGTATGCATTACAGATAAAATAAAGATAATTTTTTTGCTCCCCAATTTTTATCAATGGCTTTGGAAGAAAGAGCTCATTGAGAACTGCCTGGGCTTTTGTCCTCTAAGATGACATGGTGGGTTTGTTCCTAGCTATAGTAAATAAGTCTTCCAGTGGCATAGTGTGGGGTACAGATCCTCTCCAACGTGTGCCTTAATATGTTGAGTGCAGGGCAAGACTAGAAGGTACCTGCTATCACCATTTAAGGAGTTTTCATTATCTGGATGAATAACTCAATGAAGCCAGACTTCCAAACATACAGTCTGCTTCTCTGACAAAACGAAACAAAAAACAAACAAAACCAAACCAAACAAAACCAGAAGACACTGGATTGTGAGCAAGTCAATCCAATGTTCTCTGTTACCTTAACCACCAGATCAGATTGCTCACAAAGTCAATCTGATCAAAGGCTAAGCTATTTGGAAAATCCAAATCAACCGAGAGGAAATAAAAATGGTAGATTTGGTGGCCACGTGTAAAACATGGCCATAGCAGTTAATAATTATGTATAGATACAGTTTTCTTTTTTGTGTTGGCAAAGTGAAGAATATTATGCGCAAAAAGTGGGAGCCAGAGTCCTGGCTCTTTGCTGTTCAACAGAGAAAGTGGGGGTTTCTGGGATTACTGCTTTCCCAGATGGTGGCCAGTAGTCACCTGTGCCTGTGGAGGGGGAAACAAGTATCCTGGGTTTTTGCCAATGATATTCTTCATGTTGCCACATCAGTAAATCTGTGTAATTCAGTCTTCTCTCTTTATCACTTTTGTGCATCTTTCAGAAAATTGTCATGGTGTGGGTGGTGCTAATGCCAAATAGCGCCTCTTGACCATCCTGGTATAATTTCATGGCAGGAGTCTGCCCCCTGAACCTTGACCAGTCATCTCCCACCTGCCACCTTTTGGTCACAAGGAGGGAGAGAAAAAGCCTGTTAATGGTTCAGTGTGAATCTGCTGTCACTATTCTAAGAAAAATAATTAAGAGCCTTCCCTGAAGACAAGTCTTTTCTTTGATGGATCCTCCAATTAACTCACAAATCTGAGATGTTTTCAACAAAGCCGTATTTGTAGATACAGATTTTTAGATTTTTTTTTTCCTTTCAGAAAAGAGCGAAAAGGACTTGTTTGGCTTTGTTTTTGGCTTTCTGTGTGCCGTTGCCAACTTTAATCCCCTCATGTGGCTTGGTCTCAGTGTGGAAGCACATTGGTTCTTGTGGAAAAAGGTGTGTTGGAGGGAATGTGGATCATGCCTCTGAGAAAACACCAAACTTCTCAAACACAATATCCATACTAAATAAGAATTGAGTTTTTGACCCTTCCCGAGATAAGAATTTTGATTTTTTTCCTTCATTAAAGAATTTCCCATTTCCTTCCCTCTCCCATTTTCTAAGTGGCTGGGTGTTAGGATTCGGAGAACCCAGCCTCTCCTTTCCCAACCCCTTGCCCCCAGCCTGTGTTGAACTACCTCCTCTGTTGTTTTACCCCATGATGCTGTTTTTCCATGCTCTGCTGAAAAACCTTGTTTTCACATGCATCCTTCAAATAATTTGAAACAAAGGTTTTGTTCCTTCTTTCCTTCTGGTGTCAGTCAATTTATTATCAAATTGTTTGATTTTAAATTCTTTTCTTGTCGTTTTGCAGAAGCCGAAAGCGGTATGCACTCTTCGTTAACCTTCCTCCCAACCCCCACCCACTATCTTCACTGCTAACCACAGGACTAACCATTTGCCAAGAATTCAGGAAGATAGAGATTATATATATGTATACACATACATATAATCTCATTCCCTTGTCTATATATATATATATGTTTATTTATTTATTTATAGTTAAACCCCTCTCCAACTAGAGCACAGAAAAATTGAAAGTAGCATATTGCTTTTCTTGTTCAGTTGGTTGATTCTTTTGGATGACGCACTAACTTCTTTGCAGGAGACCTAAAAACCCAACAGGTACAATTCCTGTGTTCAGTCATGGCACCGATGATGGGAACCAGAGCCATCAATGTTGGGAAGGAGGATGCTCCTCTCCAGCCCCTGGTGTCTGTTTCTGTCTTGTGCTGATGTGTCTCGGTGTCCACCAGGCTCCGTGGTGCCGTCTGTCTGCATACCACATCCACATTCCCAGTGACTTCCTCCCCCCCCCCATGTCCGGTTTCCTGTTTATAGAGCAGGATTTGTGTCCTTTTATCCACAAAACAGAGACCAAGCTCAACTAACACTCAACTTTTTTTTTTCCTTACACTTATTTTGTTGATAACATTTTGCATATTTTATTTCTTGGGCAGTACTCGGTACAGACTTAGAACACTGCTACCAAAGTGCCCGATTATCACATTTGGTTTAGTGAATGAGTACTGTTTATTGAGATGAACTCATGGCTTTATTTTTTTCCCGATTGTGTTTGGGCACATTTCTTAATGTGAAGTTTCTCCGCTTTCACCATGTGACATCACCCTGTTTTGCTCTGATTTCTGTTGCATGAAGCATGACCAAATCCTCATCGATAGCATTTTCTTTTAACTTTTTTGGTTAATATTTCCAGTGTAGTTTTTCAATAATGTGTTCTCTAAAACAATACTGTTGAAAACATACTATTGAGATGCCTTTGTGTTCATCTTCTCAAGAGTTGTTTCTCTCCGTGGTTGGAATCACTGTCACGTGTTCGTGTTTGTAACTCTGTGTGTGTGTGTGTGTGTGTGTGTGTGTGTGTGTGTGTGTGTGTTTGTGTGTGGTGGGGGTATTTGTCTGGAACTCTTTCCAAAGTCCAATTTCTTCTGTGATTTTTGGACTAGATGTGTGACAAAAGAGGTGGCTTCCTGTCAGTTTGGAATTATTGATATGATCCAACTGCGAGAAGTTACTGCAACACTTTGCATCTTCGAAGGTCCACAGTGGTTGCACCTCTGCTGTTGGCTTTTGGCCTTTGAGTCTTTTTATCTTGTGATGGAGGCATGTTGTGATGTAGCATGACTTGTCATAAAGCGTACCACAAAGTGACATGGCTTGCTCCCAGAGCCAAATAGCCGCCATTGTCCTTCCCAAATGAGCCATCTCTTCCCCATCCCCTATGGCTACCGTTTTCTTTATGTGTCAAATGTATTTTTAAATGCCAGTTCTAAACTCATTGTGATGGGTTCGGGTAAAACAATTCCTTGCCCATATCATTGGCGGACCGCAGTGGCCGGCATTTGAGTCTGACCAACTGGGAGCAATCTTTACTATGCTGTCTCTGTGTGAGCGAACTGGCTTCAAGTATATTGAAGCATGGAATACACACTGTGTCTCCTACATATATTCTCTAAGTAAAAGTGTGTGTGTCTAGTTGTGTGGGACTCCAGCAGCATATATTTGAAAGCCCAGAAAAAATTGAAAAGTTCCAGAAAGGCAATTAGATTTGAGATTTGGGGTTTCTGTAGGCTGTGCCCTCACACAGCCCATAAACCGCAGGGCGGTTGTGCTCCTGAGAGGGGAGACAATTGGCTCAAAGTCCCACCCAATAGCAATCATATATGACCATGGGTGGTCAAAGAGGCCACTCCCCAGTGGCGTGATTCATCTGGGCATGGCATGAACTGAAGTCTTAGGTGGTTCTTATTCCCTTGCTCTAGTTAATGAAGTCCCATTAGCTTGCTAGACACAGATATAATTATCATGTTATCAAGTACAAACTCTATTCTCATGTGACTGATAATTTTGTAATGGTTCAGGGAATGGTACATTACACCTACCAAAAATGGAAGGGGGGGGGAGGAGAAATACACACCCGTCATATTTACCCATAATGGGTAAAGGATTCCTTTAAAAAATATGATTCGGTTGAACTATTCATCATTGGTTGTCTCCAAAAACAGCAAACAAGTAAAATTTATGATGATCGAAGAAGGAATAAGTAGATGTTTCCTAGTTGTTATGCATAAGTGGTTGAGAAAAGGAATAAATCATTTTGCCCCATCAAGCCCCAAATCTCCAACTTGAATAAAGTTCAGCAAGACATACACAATTAAATGCATTGTAGCTTGAGGCCTGGACCTCCCCTCCCGGAGGAACCTGACAGGGACATTTCTCTGTTGAACTGAGCCCTGCTAGCGAGTTCTATGTTCTGGTATTTTAGTTTGGAAACCTATTTCAACTCTAAGTGAGTGATGCTTTCAATATTGAAATCAATGCTCCTACTCTGCAAGTGGCTAGCTGTTTATGTATTTGTATATTTACATTTTTGTACTTAGTGCATCTGGGAGATTGTTAGCTCATTTGCCAACCCCCTAGAAAAGATGTGGTGGCTCCTTTAGTAGTCCTGACTGGTAAGAATTGCTACTCAGTTTTCAAAAGAACAGTTGTGACTACCTTTCTCCTTACTGAAGAGGGAAAGGAACACTTTTGGAGCTGAGACCAGTGATTTATATTTTTCATTCATTCCACAAGTAGTTGAAAAGTGCCTATTGCATACAGGGCTCTAAGCTGGCTACTATGAGAAACTTATTTACAAAAATAAAAAAAATATGATCATGCTTTTCATTCCTCTTTTTCAACTATGCATTCCCCACAGAAAATATGTGTTTCCTTATAGTGGGCAAAAAGCCAAAGAATCAGTCTAGATACAAAAGTAGTCTGAGAGCCAAAGAAAAAGAGAGAGCAAGAATCCTCTGGGAAGGAGCTACATAAGCCCTTTGCCTCCAGCTGCCACTGAATGTTTTCTGTTGAAATTAGCAAGGTCATAGAAGAAAGAGGGTAATTTACATGTTCCTTGAGATGAGGGAAAGTCCATCTCTGCCAAGATGTCTCTATTGGAATTCTGCTAATTGATATATGGACTTTTTCTTAGAGATTTTCTTGATTCTTCACATGACACATCTTGGAAGTTTATCTCTCTGATAAGCTAGTGAATTAGACAAAATTGGAACCAAGGACTGATTTAATGTGATGCCCAGGGAGGGAGACTTCTGGCAGTCACAAGAGCAAAACAAACAATGTTGGATATTCTTTTAAGAGATCAAAGACCTTTGAAAAGATTTACATATTCCCAGTAGGAGGTCAATAACCCACTCTGAGGGTAGTAGGCACTTCGCTGGGAAAAAAATTACTTCTGTCTAGGATCCTTATGTTTTTTATATTTTCAGAAAGAGGAGGATTAACATTTTATTTAAATTTTCTAGCTTTGGAGTGTGGATAGAAGACTTAATGTCTACAGTATTGGAGAGAGTAACACATTTCCCCAGAGTCTTTGAAACCTTGTACCCTTACATAGGGAATTATATGCAGTGGGCTCTGGAATCAGGGGCACATGTTTCTCTAACCAAATCCTTAAATATATGAGTGGAATCCAGCACAGTGAAGATTCTTATGTATCTAGATTTCTTCATTGTTCTCAAGATCTAGGCGGGTTCTTTCAATTCCCACCCAGAAGGCTGCCTTCACCTGATCTGGATAGCTGCTAATGTGAGCCTACAGCCTCACACATCATGTAAAGAGATGATTTAAAGCTTCCTACCCCTCATTAAGCCCTCTCCAAAAGAGAACCAGAAGGCACTGTGGAATCACACGGGCAGTGATGTCCTTGGAAGTGCATAAGGTTTGAGGAACAGATAGACACTCCACTCTGCAGGCAAAAGCCAGTCCAAATTAGCCCATCTCCAGATGTTATAGAGGGATGTAATGTTTTGGATACTGCAGTCAGTAAAAAGGTCTTTCAAATGCCAATAGGGGGACTCCTGGTAATTTATTAGCACCAAGGACAAAATGGGGAGCTGAGGCCACGTGAGACATTGTTTGCTTCTCATTTAGTTGTTTTAATAACCATGCTTACTATTAATAGTGAGCATGCATTAAGGACCTACTATGTGGCAGTCACTCAGCACATGGCATGTACTTTAATTCTCTTAGTAACACCGTAAGCTAGAGATTATTCACTCCATTTCACGGAGGAGGAGAATGAGGCTGAGTGGCATCCACTTGCCCCAGGCCAGGGTCTGAACTCCTAGGCCTGACACGTACACCTGCTCGCTTAACCAGCGCTTAACCAGATTTGAACACAAATCTGCCTTCCATCAGTGCCCCAGATCTTTCCTCGCCACCACACTACCTTGACTAAAGCAGGCTTGCAGGCTGTAATAAATGATCTCAACCTGCAGTCTCTGGAATGACAATCCCAATTCTCATTGTATAAGCCAATTCTTGTTCACTGTTGATAAAGAACAGAGGAAATGAAAAGAAACTTCTCATTGATAGGAAGCTTGCTATCACTGTCGTCCTCCCGTGACACAGTGGGCTTGATCACTGGAGTGCAATTAATGAAGCACATAATGTAAAAAAGGATTCTGTGCAAGGCTTGTTTTGCACATATATGTCACCAAGACATTGATGAGTGTCAAATTTCCCCTTTTGAATTGCATCGTTGAAATCATGATAGGATTTTTTTTAACTCAGAAGCTTTTTTTTACACTCTTATATAAATACATATCAAAATGTAGATTTTTCCAGCTTTCAGGAATTAGCTTCTTTAGACACCAAACCTATCCAGAATTTTTCATGTATGTCCTTGTATACCATTCTGGAATATACAGTTCTTTACCCTGTAACTTCATCTCATTTTGAACAGGATATTTTGATAAGGAGCCCTGTGTTCCATTCCATGGGGCCAGCTAAAGAAAATCTGATAATTCCATTGAAAACGAAATATGCTTTTGGCTTTTTTTTTCTTGCAGTAATAAATAATAAGAGTAACAATAACCAATATGCATTGAGCCTTCGGTGCATCATCTTGCTTAACGCTCTGAAGAAAGACTATGATTATCATCCTCATTGTAGATGAGGATATTGAGTTTGAGGAAGATTTAGTAATTTGCCCAAAAGCCAGACAGCTACTAAATGGTGATGCTGGAATTTGGGTGCAATTTCTGATCGCAGAGCCAGGGCATACAAGTACTGCCTTACAGCAAAGGGGGTAAGAAAGTGCAAAATCCAGCATTCTGCCCTTCTACGACATCACATTTAATTGGCTTTGAAAAAGGAGTCCATCTAAGCTGTCTAAGCTCTGACCCTTTCCCCTCATGATCGTGAGAAGTCAGAAGGCTGTTAAACCAATGTAAAGAATTGTCAGGGGGGTAATTAGGAGGTGCCTGCCCAGTGCCGGTGCCTGTTGCAGGCTGTTGCTATTGGTGTGGTCTGCTGCTTCCTGATTTGTGAAGAATCTCATTGTAGCCTGTGGTTCCAGGGCAGAACAGACCAATCATCATGGTCCCTGCCTATTATTTAGTGTTAATAACAGTGATGACACAGGATTGGTTTCCTTCTGTCAGGTCTCGTTATGGGTAATAGTGGATGTTCTTGCGACCACAAACAATTATTTTGCCATAATGCTCCACTCTGAGTCCTCCCGGCAGAACAAAAGCTCACCTGGGTTCTTCCTGTATTGCTGCAGATGCATGACTCTGTTGGCCGCAGCACTTTCCTGGAGTGGTTTTGCCAGCAGTAAAAAATTACATGTTAATTACCATCCTCCATTTTGATTGTCTTAGACAGTTGAGGACTTCCTTTAGCCTGATTCCAAACATCTATTACCTTGAAGTCGGCTTTTCAGATCAGAGAATAGCTTTGTTGTATCTATTCCTGCACTCACAGTACCCAAATTCCCTGTCCATTAAGCCCAAAACCTCTCAGTCTCTTTATAATACATTCCTGCATTCTGTTCTTGATCTGCAGAAAATTAAACTTGTTTGTTTCACCCATTTATTAGATTAGGATACATGTATCTCTTTTGTCAGTCCAAGCACAACTTGGTCAGCTAATCTATTTATAACACTTTGAAATAGGACGGTGTATATTTGGGTCCATACTTCCCTGCAAGGGGAAGGTTTTTGTTTGTTTGTTTGTTTTTCGGGATGATTTGCATTTGTTTTATAATTACAGTTTGCCCCAATCAGGATGTACCAGACACACACTTCATTCAAACACTCCCATGCATTTTGGTAAAAGCAGACTGGAATCATTTCCAACTGCTGGCATTTTTCTCTTTCACTGTTTGGGTAGGTCCAATTTGTTCTACATAGGCTGCACACGGAGTCCACTTACATGTCTTTACCAACGTCATGCAGATGTGATGTTTGTTTCTGCATTAGTTACAGGTGTCGTGTACCATTCCCTGCAGTAATACATGTATATGTGTATGTTTCTGGATGCATATAGGGGTCCCATTAATGCTCTGTCATCTAACAGAAAATTGTTATAGCAGTAGCTTTATTAGACCAATCACATTCGATGTTGACCATTAACAGAAGTTTCCAAAGGGCTACATATCATATCAGAAGCCCATGATGGCTACCCCATTATATACCCCTGGCCCTGAAACCTAGATGTGCTTTGACTTCTGCAACTGGGAGTATGCCAACCTGGGAACTGAGCAGCAGAGCTTTATGATGGCCTTATCCGCTTAAATGTCTGGGACTGTGGACATCAAGCTCTACACAACATCTTTGGGAAAAGCATTAGACTAGTGGGCCCCCTATAAAATTAACAGTACAGTGTAGCCTTCAAGGTTTTATTCAGAACATGACCTCACAAATGTGCCTTCTTTGTTTGTTTTTGTTCACTGAGCAGTATATTAATTAATCCTGGAAACCATCTTAAGATCCAAGAAGGTACTTTAGGATTTTTCATCGCAAGTGATGCCAAAGAAGTTAAAAGGTAAGAGTTCATATTTATCTGCCTTCCTTTCTGGCACAGCCATAGTCAAGATGACTCACCATAATGGGCATGCTTTCAATATGTATAGAGCCCTAACCCCAAAACTTCTTAACATGTCCATGGGTATCAGTGATGCCAAGTCTTGGGAAAAAGAGACTATGCTTTCAAATGCTTCCATGAACTCCTCTTCACATAGTTGATTCCACATCTTTGAATTAGAGTAATAATATTTTAGAACTAGGAGGGCCTAGTTAACTGCTCCTTCATTTTCCAAGGGAGGAAACTGAGTTCCAGAGAACTGAAGCAATTGTTCAGGGTCATCCTGATTCTTGATGACTGAGAACAACATAACACAGGACAACTGGTTCCTTGTCTAGTACTTTTGACCCAATATCCAGGCAAATTTACTCGAGTATTATCAGCTTTCTAATCTAAGTTCCAAATGGAATCTCAAAAGGTTTGGATTAATTTCAGATGAAATATTCAGTTAGCTATATTTCCATTTGTGGCCTTCTAGGTAAGTAGTTGAAGTTGTCAGATTCAATTCTTAAGCCTCTGTAGGTACAGCCCAGGATTTCATTGACCTCAACGTTTTATGACACTTTTATTAGTATCCTTAAACCTGTTTAAGCAGCCTAGGAATCACAGGGCTCTTTGGAGAACGCCATAGAATATTGTTATATTTGAGTCTATCCTATGAACTCTGAAAAACTTATTAGCAGAAAATGTGGCTCCAGCAGTCCGACAGGTCACTCACTTTAACAATGATGTTACTTAGAATATTTCAAATAAATGATTAATTGTGAAAGGCCTATAATTATTTTTTGGAAGCCTATTGTTTTCATGTAATGAGTTCCCACTCAAGGCCAGGCCTGTGCTAAGGGTTCTATGTTCATTATTGCCAGTCCCCAGAATAACCTCATAAGGTGAGTCTTCTGAAACCCTTGGGGCTTTGGTTTCCTCATCTGTAAGGTTGAGATAAATGATTTGTCCGAGGTTAGACAGCACATAAGCAAGTGGCACAGCCCGGATTGGAAATGGTCTTTCCTTTTTCCCAAACCCACATTTTCTACCAAATTTAATGATACTAGCAAATTCTTAGGTAGAGTTTCATCGGTGCCAGCCCTGCTCTAAGTACCAGGTGCCATGAACTCACGCCATCCTCTCAACAACCCTGGGAGATAGGTAGCCTTACTATTTTTATTTTCCACATGAGGAGACTGAGGTGCAGATTGGCGAACTAATTTGCCCAAAGCCCCACTGCTAAGGAGTAGTAAAGCCAGGATCCAAAACCAGGAAGTCCAGTGCCAGGGCTTACCTTCTTAATTTTTGCCAAGAGGTGAGCCTGATGAGCTGAGCACAGAACTAGGATATTTGACGGCTGATGCCTATTACTTTTTTCCTCTTCATCCACTTCTGCAAACTAGCCATACTAGTTATAAAAGCTTTTAGGGGGGAAAAAAGTTGGTGGAGAAGCAAAAAAACACAGAAAAACAAAAAGAAAAAAACAACAAAAAAGAAAAATTCTTTAAACTGAGCTAATGGCTTAAATTTACTTCTACAAATTGGGAAAGAACTGCCATTATTCAGATGGGGACAGGAAAACCTTCTAATCCAGTTCATGGATCCTGACTGTTCTTCAGTAGTACCTTGAGAACTGGGTTCACCTGAGCAGAAAGTGGGGGTGAATGGGACTGAGGCCCCCCCCCGCAGGTCCCCTGGAATAGAAGGTTATGCTCACATACAGACTGCGAGACACACAAGCAGCATCTCAACACCATGTATGGGGGTGGGGGAGGGGGGCGTGCTGGGGAGCACAGCAGTGCTGTAGATCACGTGTACCTCCCAGATAGCAAATATAACACGAAGCTCCCATTTGTGTAATTCTATTTCCTATTGCATCTCTCGCTAATGAATGTCACAAATACCAGGCAGTCCAAAAAACAAATTACCTCCTGTATTAGGGAGTGCAATATGTCTCATTTCAGTGCTTTATGGTATTCACAAATACATGCTGACACAATCAGCTACAACACAAGCCTGTAATTTTCCATAGTGTGTGATGTGTCTGAGCAAATGCTGTCAGTTAGGGGATTTCAAATAGATGAAGACTGCAGAAAACCACAGAAAAGGCCTTGGAGATTTGAATGAAACTAAACAAGTTTTGTAAAAATGGAAAAGTTGATTATGATGATCCAGGATTGAGTTTGTACCCTCTCCTACAAACAAGCAACCAAAGAAGTTAATGGATTTTAGCTCACAGAAACTTTCAGATGCAGTGTTTTAGGAAAAGAGGAGTGAAACCATCCATTCCAGTCTCAGAAAGGTCACTTTGGGATGAACATTCGATCATTTGTCCCCTATTCCTTGCCACCAAATATTTTCCTTTTCAAATGACCTTGGCCCATAGTTTTTGATGTAGGAATCACAAAATGGTACCCCATTGACTCAGTTTGGCTTGCAGACAGAATTTGTTTGATTCACAATTTTAACAAATAAATGAGTTGCCAAGAGGAAGACATCATCAACTTTTATTTAAAAATTCCTGTTCCTGGTTTCTCTTGAAAAACTTGGCAGATCTAGCATTCCTGGGCAGCATTCTCACACTCATTCATCCATCAAATGTCTGCAGGTCACTCACTTTATAGAACACTCCATACCAGGTGCCAGGGAAGCAGTGGTGAACAACGAAGTCCTGGCTCTCAGGGGCTCATGTTCTAGGGAGGAGAGAATGGCAGTTTTGTTTATTTATGGTACATTAATCAAAGAATTAATGCAACTGGGGCACTGATTTAGATTGTGAGGGCTGCTCTGAAGGGGAGCCACATTTGAGCACAGATGGAGGTGACGGGAAAGAGTCTGTCATACAAAGATTGGAAGGGAAGAGGAGACAGGTGGGGACAGTGTTGTGTGCAGGGAGCCAAGGGAAGGAAAGTGTGTCTGACAGAGTAGTGTGGGGAGATGAGGTAAGAGAGGAAGGCAGGGCTGGCTCTCATAGGCCTTGATACAAGGGTTGGGTTGTTATAAAATGGAGTCATTGATGGTTTTAAGCTGGGGTTGATGTAGTCTGATTTCCATTACTGAAAGGTCTTTCCCTTCCATTATAAAGAATGAGATGTAGTGCCACAGGAGAGGGGGCCCAGAGACAGGGAGACTGCCTAGTGTAGGTGAGGGAGAATAACGTAGGCTAGGCTGGTGAGTGGAGGTGCAGACAAAGAAGACTGATTCAGAATATATTTTACTAGAGAGTCTATAGGGCCCACTGGTGGACTGCATATAAGAAGTTGGTGGGGGAGAAGGAATCAAGAATGGAGCCTAGATTTGGAGCTTATGTAATTGGGTGGTTGTTGGCTCCCCACCTTACTGAGATGGGGAAAGCTGGAAGAAGAGCAAGTTTGGGGTGTAGGAAATTAAGAATTCTATTTGGCTATGTTAAGTAGGAGATATGTACAAAACATGCACATAGAGAAGTCATAAAGGCAGTTAGAGCTAAGATTCTGGAGTCTGGGGGGAAAGATGGGAGCTGGAGGTGTCAGTTTGGGTGCTGTATCAGGGAGGATCCTGGCCAGAAACAGATGACACACCTAAGTGAGAAAAGAGAGGAGAGTTTTATGAAGGGACCATATAAGGTTGTGGGCAGAGAGTTAAGGAAAACCAACAAGGGATGGCAAAACACCCCAGAGCTAGAGACAGAGGGGAGCCATTCTCAGCCCTGAATCTACAGAGTCAAGGGGAAGGAGAGCTATCAGAACCTGGAGAGAGAGGTTGTAGTATAGGAAAGGCTGCCTGGCAGGAGCTGGGTGCTCTGTAGTGTGCAGAGGGGGCCACCACCAATTCATGACCCAGCAGGGAGGAACTCTCCTTTCCCATCCTCCAGTCTCCTGCTGGCTCCTCTGATTGGCCGAACACAACAGGAAACCAGAGGACAAAGAGACCCTTTGTCTCTTTGACCGGAAAGACCGGCTTTCCGGGGTATGGATCTGGTCTTCTTGGTGATGCATGTGTCAAGTTCACCAGCCGAGGGCCACTTGGTGAAGGGGTGGGGTGAACAGGAGAGGAAGTGGGGAGAAGAGCAGAGAGGGTTGAGGTGGAAGGAGGGGATATGCAGTAGGCCTGAGGGGTGTGAAAAGTCCTCTGGAATCCATGGCCATGGATTTGAAGTGAGATCAGTCAGCACAGTTGTGTTTCCTTTACTGAGCTCAGCTGCTCAGGTGCAGGTGTGCGGTAAGGTGGGGGCTTTGCCAGGTGAGCATGAGAGAGGCAGAGATGGGTGGGGAAGAACATGATGCTTGCAAAGAAGTGCCACTTGGCAAAACTCAGCTGGCAAAACTTAGATACTGTGCTCCCTCTGGGTGGGAAATGTGTCTCCAGGACTGAAGACCAGAGACCCCACCCCCACCCCCGCTCCCTGGCCCCATCTCACTCACTATCTTTACCTTTATTTTCAGAATCTAGCTTTAATTCATGAAGTAATCCACTTGATCTTCTCAACAGTCACTCAGACTCATCACTGTTCCATCATCTCTTTATTAGAGATTTCTTTAAGACCTTGAGCTCTGGGAGTAGGCTGTGTGGACTTGAATCCTGGCTCTGCATGACCACGGGCAGGTCATGTAACCTCCCTGTGCTTCAGTTTCCTTATCTGTAAAACAGAGATAATAATCATTACTCCTTCAAAGGGTTGAGGATCAAATTCATTAATACTTATAAAGTGCTTAGAATAGCACCTGGCCTATAGTCTGTGCTCTATAAATGTTCCCTGTTATTGTTGTCATTATTATTATGTGTAGGAGCATCAGGTGGGGGAGAAAATGGCCAAAGGAAGTGGAAACAAAATGGCTTCCTCCATTCCTGTCCTTCCCCTTTCTTAGCCACATTGCCACTCAGGGCAAACAATCAGCTACCTTCCTTCCTTCCTTCCTTCCTTCCTTCCTTCCTTCCTTCCTTCCTTCCTTCCTTCCTTTCTTTCTTTCCTTCTTCCTTCCTTCCTTCCTTCCTTCCTTCCTTCCTTCCTTCCTTCCTTCCTTCCTTCCTTCCTTCCTCTTTCTTCAAGATGGATGAACACTGGCATTTAAAGAAATAGTGAATGAGCTGTTAGGGCACAAAGAGCATTGGGCTTGGATTTAGAAGTCCCAGCCAAGCCCAGCACAGGATGACTTTTGGCAGGTTGTTGACAACCTCCTCAATTTGCAGATAAGGACACTAAGTCCTGGGGACCTCCAAGATCTCTTCCAGATCCCAAAGTCTTAACATTGGTTTCCACCTGGCGCCAATCACATGTGCAAGTCCCGTGAAAACATAAAAAGGAATCTAGGAATAGAATGGTCAAGAATTATGTTTCTTTCTTTGTAGTCTTGGTCAAGGGAAGACCACGTTTATCCCTGACATTCAATTTCATGTTGGGAGTGGTGAAGCCAAGGATTTTGTTAGTCCCCATATCCAGAGCTTGTAAGGTTGTTCCAGTGAATTTTATCCCAGTAATCTCCTGTGCTGAAAGGATATAGGCCTCCAGTGCTGTTCTTCTAGGTCCTATGCATTCTGTGCTTGAATGATCTTGTTTTGTCTCATCCAGAGTATCTTTGACACAGCCAGTGTGCTTGGTAATCACAGCTTGACACTTAAGGTCAGTCGAGGGGATTTTCTTATTGGTTGTTTCCACTGGGTGCCCAACCCTAGAGTGCCCTCTCCCCACCCCCGTTGCAGTGCTCAGCTGAGCTGTGCTTTTACCATGAGAAGAAAACCTCCATTTATTACATGATCTCAAGGCTGGAGAGTATGGGAGTTGGTCCTTCTAGTTTGGGAGCAACTATGGGCTATGCTATGAAATGCCAGAAGAAATTTGACAGAGGACCCCTTTGACTCACCACTTTTGTCTTTCCCTGTCCACCTTCCTCCTTAACCTCTCTCATTTTGAAAAGAAATGGGCTTTCTGAGTGACAAGGCTAATGTTTTTATTTGACGGTGGAACTTTATCCTTGGGGCCCCTTCGACAAATATCTGACCAGACGGCAAGCGTTTCGGAGATGGATTCAACTTCCCCACCAAGGGCCCGGGACTGGTTGCCAGCGTGTTCTGATGAGCAGCAATGAATGCCGTGCTCAAAAATGAAAGATGAGCCAGCAGACCCAGGGTGTCCCATCAGCAGCCATTCCCCCAGTTCCTCTTAAAAGGAAAGTGTATTAAAAGAAGCATAAACTCAAATTGCAGAATCCTAGGTTTGAAATAAAAGGTCTTGCAACAAACATTCCCGTCTGTAAATGTCTAAACCTTTCAAAAGATGAAAGGAAATTAGTGTTGGCATGTTTCATTAATTTGGCACCACGGTGGAGGAAATGTGGTGCTTGTTTCATTCGGGTGGATTATGAAATGTGTCAGTTTTTCCATTCTCTTTCTCCAGGGCATTTTTTTACTGCAAGGCCTGTCACGATGACATCACAGATCCCAAAAGAATAAAAAAATGCGGCTGCAAACGGCGTAAGTAGTGTTTCTTTCCCCCTCCCCCCCTTTCCTTTCCCCAAATTCGTTTCCCTTCTCCTTTTCCTATTAAAGAAACACTAAACATCAAGAGGTTTCTTGACTATGTTTGTTTCACCCAGCAGTTTAAAGAGACATGAAAAAATGCCTGTCCTTGCTTTATTAGAGTAGAGGATGAAAAATCCCCACCATCAGCACCTTTGAATGAACCTAGTGCCTAATCCCCACCTCCAGACCCTGAAGGGATGCCAAGGTGGTTGTGTCCACTTGAAAGTAGTCAGTACGGTGCATGAGAAGGAGGACAGCTAAGACCACGGAGGAGGGAGTATTTTTGCAAAGTGATTTCCGGTGGATATGGGACCACCAAGTGTGAAGATGGCTGTACTAGGGCTGAAAGGGAAACTGAGTCTGAGGGTGCTGTCTCCCAAACGGGCGCTGACTCTCTTTCCATTTGGGACTGCTGTAAGGTTTGATACCAAGATCCAGAGCGTTCCCTTGTAGTACCCTCAGACTGGCCCAGGAAGAGAACGTGGCCATCACCAGTCAGTTTTATTTGCCATTGCTCCAATAACCAACCTCAAACACCTTTGCTCCTTGGGATAGACTAGATCAGGCTCAGTAGCTTCTGGCATATCCTGTCTCAAATCTCTTCCAAAGCAGCTTGCTAATGGGACCTCTTGAGAAAGATTTGGTAAGTCAGGAACTTTGGATCATGAGCTCCCGAGAAACCAGGACTTAAAGTTGGGCGTGCCTCGAGGAGGCCATGCCACTTGGAGTAATTATGTTGCATTGCCTAATAGAAGTTGTTCATGACCTTCAAAGAAAACAGTAACAATGATGCCTTCCTTCCTATGGCGATTTAGTATTTTCAGAGCTCCTTATTCATGATCATTATTTTGTTTGATCCTCACCGTAACCCTGGGTAATTGTCAGGGGATGTTATTAATTCCATTTTACAAAAAGAGGAAACCAAGGCTCCAAGTTTAGTGGGAAGATGAGATTGCTAAGAGTCACAGAGACCTAACAGACAAGGGTCCAGGCTCACCCAAAGGCCTTCCCGTGTTGTGCTCTCAGTGCTCTAATCATTTTTGCAAGAGAGAAGGGCAAGGCAATGATCTTGGTTCTGAAGAGTAGAAACATAGTTATGAAAGATTGTCCTATAAAAAGCAGAAACCAGATAGAAGAGCACTATTCCTGGGATATGCCAACCAAAGCAAGGGCTTTTTTCACTGCATTCCTAAAGGGGGACACAGTTATGTAAAACCAGTAAGATATAAATATCACTCTGCTGGAGCACAAAGACACTCGATCTCTTAGGCAAATACCCATGGGAGCCCTCTTGGTCCAGAGCAGTTTCTGTAGAAATCCTCGGCAGCTGGTTCCCAAGTTTGAGGCAGCTTAGGCCCATTGTTATGCTTTCTCCACTGACTCAACACACATGTCCCCGTTTCCCCCAGCTCTGACACCTTACTAAGATGAGTATTTATTGAGCTTTCAGTCAAAGAGATGCTAAGCTCTTGAGGTCTAAGAATTCTCTGATTCTGACAACCTAAGGGGAGCATCTAAGGGGGTGTAAGGCCCAGAACAAAGCCACTTCCAATCTCCTGGACTCATTGACACGAAAGGCCCTCCTTACGAGGCCGTCTACTCCAGCACTGCTTAGTTGGCTGTGAACACGGAAATAGCTCGGATAACGAGGCACCCGCCAGATCATATCCATCAGAGGAGCATAGTATCCCAAGGTGGAAGTAAACGAGAGTAACAGATACAAAAGGGTCAACTCCTTTGTAAGGAAACTCTCGTAATGAAGGGGGGTGGGAAATGCAGGAGAGTGTCGAGACCAATTATCCATGACCCAGTATCTGCCAAAGAACCTGGTCCCATGGAGTACTACAGAAATTCACTTATTGATTAGCCATCCACATATTTCTGAGTACTTTCTTTGTGCCAGGTGGATTCTTGGTGCCAGGGATGGAGGGGTGAACAAGATAACCTTGCTGTTCTTCTGAAGTCTTCACTTTAGTGAATGGAGACAAACAATGATCATAGAAACTATTAAATGCAGATAGATTCAAATGCCATGAAGAGAGAGGAGACTGCCTGCGGGTATGGGGAACTTGTCAGGATGCTGCTTTAGGCAGAAAGGTCTGGAAGGCCTCCCTTGGAAGGTGACATTGAAGCTGAGACTTTGTCCAGGCTGGTAGAAGAGCAAGGGCAAAGGTCAAGAGGCAGGAATAAGTTTGAAGTGTTGGATGGAAGGAAGGAAGGAAGTCCAGAGGGGCTGGTGGGACTGGGGAAAGAGTGGAATGAAATGAGGTCATAGAGGAAGGCAGAGGCCATGTTGAGAAACCTGGGTTTTAGTCCTATAATTGATACAGCTATTAGGGGATTTGAGCAAGGACATAACATCCTCAATTCCTGTATTAGATGACCTCCGTGATGACTGGACAGAGAACAGACTCTAGGAAGGCAAGGGTAGAAGGCAGAATGAGGGAGAGAAAGTGTATCTGACCCCTGCTCTGATACTGGAATGTTCCTCGTAGGCACTGCAGTGGAACTCAGCAGAAAGCTTTTAGGTTCCTAGAAATGAGGATTTGGCCTCTAGGGTATTTTTCCACCCTGGTTCCAGGCAAGCAAACAGCAGTTGACTTTAACTTCATCCTGGAGGGAGAGGCACATAATTGTTTGAAATAATTTTATTCTCTTTGTTCCCCTTAAAGCTGGTTCAGCTAGTGAAGTGTGTGGTCTCTCACCATGCGTGGCATGGATTGCCGTGGAATCCCAAAGCTGAGCCAGCGTGACAGGGGTCTTGCCCCTGTCTCTCTGTACCCCCTTCCCTCTTGGACTTCTCATCTCAAGGAAGCCTCTGGCTGTGAGGTTAATGTTTGATAACAATCAAAATTGTCCAAATATTGTTCTTCCTAATTAAAAGGCCATAGCAGCCTGTGTTACAGAGGGCAGGATGCAGATGTGTATGTGTAAGGGGTGGTCAGAATAAAGTGAATTATTAAACATGAACCTCCCCATGCATACCAGGCAAGTCAGGAAATTGGGGACGATGGGTTTTGGTTGCAAAGAAACTTTGATTAGAAGGAGCTAGAACTGTGAATAATGAATTGCGGGGGTTCCTGTGCCTTTGAGGGCACATTGCCTGGTGCCCTAAGTTGGAGTGGGCAGCTCATCCACACAGTCATTGGTCCAAATGTATTAGACCAGGTATTAATAATTCACCCTAGAATGATACACCTCCATGAGGGCAGAGCTGATGACAGTCATTGGTCTTTACCCACAGCTTCCTAACCCTCCCCTCCCAACCTAGCTCTTCCCGTTCCAGTCCCACCCCCACCTCCCCATTCACCTTGAACATTTCATGCCATACTATCTGGAGAAATACCGAGTGTGGACATTCCATTTCTGGAAATCCTGTGGTAGTATAGTTTAACTTTTGCATTTCTTTCCATTTCTTCATAGCATTCCATCAAGGAAGAGAGTCAAATTCAGCTGTCTGGCCAAGGAGCAAGCTCTCAGAATCTACTATTTACCCATTTTTTTCTTCTGTATAACAAACCTGGTCTAATGATTTACATTTTTTCCCCCAGCCTGTATAAGTTTGCCAAAGGGTGGACTCCCAGGGGACAAGTCATGTCTGAATTGATGTGTTTGAAGGAATTTTCTTGAACTTCTAATCATTGACATATTTTTGATTTATTTTTTTTCTCTTTGCTGCCTTGGAATACGGCCCCTACTCTATTTTAACTGCACACTGGTAGTGATATATTGTGAGTAAAACGGGTTCCCAGTAGCCCGGAGTCCAGTTCCCCCTGTCTTTCTCTAGAAGAGATACTTCTTTTATTTTCTGTACAGTTTCAGTTTCTTTTTTTCTTTTGGTATTTATGTTGCATGTAGCAGTGACATCATGCCCCAACTCCCTCATCCAACACGGTCTGCAGAGTAGCCTGGGGCTGGAGACCCCCCAGAGCAGGGAACCCCCCTCCGTTCATCTTCCCATCCCCCAGCCTCTTGCCAGCTTCTGGCGCTGTCTTATTTTTCCATTTGAAAATAAGACCTTGACCACAGTGTTTCTCTTGAAGGCCTTGTCTCGGGACCTTTAGGGGACACTGAGTAGGCTGAGGTAATTACCACTATAGCTGTAGATGCCTCATCAATTGGAGGTCATTGTCATGCTTGCCTTCGATAAATTAGACCTGGTCTCTGCTACTGAGCCTGAATTCCTATCCTGAAGGAAACACATATGCTACATATATATTCCTATGTTGTGATATATATATGATATCTACCAGTACTTTATATGTAAAAATGAACATTTTCATATATAAGCATAGAGATATTTTATAGAGAGAGCGATGTATTTATTATACGTACCTCTCTATGCGAGGAAGTGCTTGCTAGAGAATTAACTGGACACCAAACTTTGGGATTGTAAGTATCGTAAGCCACCTTACTGGAGACAAGTATTACCACAGTGGTAATTATTTCCTACAGTCTACGAAGTTCCCTTGCTTTAAAATAAAGTTCTCCTTTCAGTCAGTACCCACTGGGACATACCCAGTTCTGCTGTGGGTGTTAGTCAGGCATCTTGGAAGATCCATTTACTTGTTTCAGGTGGAAAAAATGGCTCAAGGACAATGTTCCTTTTCGTTAGTGAGCCATGTAGAAGTCCGAACAAGTAAATGTTAAGTCTCTGAGCCCCTAACTTACTCATAGAGTAGGACCCCTCTCACCCAACAAGATGTGGCCATTTCAGGGCCAGTGTTTCTGTGTGTGACTCCGAGCAATGCTGCCTTCCATGCCACCAGCAGTGAGCGTCGTCAGGTCTCTACTCACGGACTCATGGGAGACTCCATGGAAAACGAGACCCAGCCTGCAGACCAGTTCAGTCCAGTGGTCCTGGCATCTGGAGCTATCTCAGCCCTCCAGAATCTCCTTGCCTCTGCACCAGGCAAGGGGGTCATCTGGTTCTGGCTAGTCTTCAGAGTTTGAGGCTCTAGAATGCTCAGTGTACAAACAAAACAAATCAATGATGTCTTGAGTCCGTCACACAATGCTGCCAAGATGGACTCCGTGGCTGCCTTTATCTGCAGAGCACCGGGAAGGCTGGCTCGAGGGCATGTGCCACTCTCATACCTGCAGAGGCGCCTTCTGTACCTCGTGATCCTTCGGAAGCAGACAGAAGAGGGGATGTCAGTCACCAAACAGCTCTGGTGCCAAATGCCTCTGCCTTCCACAGCCACCGCGTGGTGTGGAGGGCAGGATCCTCTAGTTCTGTTCTGTGTACTTAGGCCCACTGACATTAACTAGCTTTTCCTTTCCCCTCTTTCTGTTCTTGGAAAACCACCTGGCAGATCTTTCTTCTCCCTGCAGAAGCTAATAGGAGGAATTTGGCTAAGTGAAGACATCATCCCTCATTTACAGGACTGGAAAGAATGCTCGCTGATTCCCAGGGTCACATCAAACGCATGTCTCAACCCTCTACCTCGGTGGACTTTTTCGTTCCATGGAGGCTTCTAGTTCTAATTTTAGTTGCTGCTGAGCGTGTGAAGAGCAGCATCAGGGTTCAGGCTTGGAATTCATCCTCCCTTCACTGGGATTGATTTTAAACATGTCATTGCAACCTAAAAAGTATCTGTGAACTGAAAGTCAGATATTTTCTTCGTCCACATTCGTCTTCCTTTGAATTTGCTCCATTTGAACCTAGAATACTTTTTCTCTGGCCGTTGGAAAACTCCACCTGAGCTTCTCAGTCCTGCGTTGCTTTTCCTGCCCCTTCCAACCCACCCTGGAAATTAAGATTCTGCAGTTGGAAATTGGCTGGCAATTTGGTTGCTGATGCAGGAGGCAGATGGTGCTGAGCACAGGATGGAGTCCAACTCCCTCTTCATTCCAGGCTTGGCTCAGAAGGGCTAACCGGCAGAGATCCTGAGTGTGACAGCTGATTGTCACTTTGACACAAGGAAAATGCAGTAACCCAGCCACATCTACATCAGCCACTTCTGTACAGGTTTCTTTTCTCGTGATCAGACAACCCTTGAAAATATAGGAAAAGTGGTCCGAGAGTAGGTCTGAGAAATCCCCCATTTTTAAACACTTAAGAGTAAACAGATAGCTTTGATGATGTCCATTAGGAAAATACTTTCATTTTATCTCTACAAATAGCACTAGAAGTCCTAATGGAAATATTGGATGAATATCCACTCCCTTGTGGTGAAGGAAAGCACATAAAAGCTTTTTCTCAAATTGTAAAAGGGCTAAGCCTGAGTTCTTTGGAGGAAGGTGAGACCCAGGGTCTCATTCTTGGCAACCACATAACCTCTTTGAATCGGTGGCACCGGTCCAAGAACAAGAACCTTGTGACGTGGGCCAAAGAGAAAACGGAGTCCCTAGAGGCTTATATTTCTGCTTTCCCTGAGTTAAGCTGGCCTATGGGGCCAATAATTGAGCATAAAGTTCCAAAAGCCCTAAGACGGAATGACAAGTAGCTACAGTCTTCACACCTACCGGAGACACACTCTTGTCTGTTTCCTGCCTCAGGAAGCAGCAGCACGGCTTTGAGGAGACCCAGCCATCTGCTGCTGAACTGGTCCCACTCTGTTGGCCACGGTGGCAGAGCCAACGTGTTTGCAAGTCGCCACTCTTGAACCAACTCCTAGAATTCGCCGCTTCACCCCGACTGGCCCCTAAACATCCGCCGTGAATTGTAAGAACCACTGAACTGAAATGACACTGCACAGATTTCCAATTTTTGGAGGCACACAGTGTTCCTTCTTGCTCCCTTACAGAGAAAGGCCAGATCTTTCAGGTAGTCTGTTGACTAGCTGCTCTTCCACACGGATCCACTAGATGTCCTCATAGATCTACTTTCCATTACCATTGAGCTCCTGGGGAAAATTCCTTTTTTCTGAGGCTTTGGGATTTGGGAAGAGACCGTTGGGTGACGATGTGAAAAAGAAAATCAGCAAACACCAAAGGTGAGAGGGCACTTTATGTGTCCAGGGAGTAGATTAAGAAACTTATTTCTGGTTTAAATAAATACTGAAACTTTTCCAAAGTTGCTCTTTGAAGCCTAACCTTGGGAGTTTTAAGTGGCACTCTGATATCTGAAATTAACCTTATAACCCACATCAGCTCCAGAAAAGGAAACAGTCACGGGGAAATGGAAATAAAACGCCAGCGGTTCTGAATATCCGTGATTCGCTAAAACAAAACCGGAGGATTAGGAAGCCAGAGAGAGTTGAAGGGGACGAGGGGTGGGTGGTGGTTTCTAAATCAGGAGAGCCACGACTTAATTTTGATATAATTTTATTTTACAACTTGAGAGTATAATTTTACACACAGTGTCCACATCCTCTGGAATAGCTCCCACCACGTGGGCAAATTAGCAAACGTTTTTAGTTAAAGCGCTTGTTCATGACCCATTTAACGACCCAGAGGAGGGCTCTTTCTTCCTAGCTGGGACGCACATCCTTCAAGCCTGATGAATCGCTCCACCAGAAGGGAGGTCAGCTGGGCTTACCTGTTAAGAGATTGGGCCCGGAAGTGTATAGGTGAAGACATCTAAGGGGTGGGGGGGTGTCAATGAAAATGGACTATTCCAGAAGTAGAGCGAGAGAACCACCCTCCCAGCCCGTGGCACCTTGGTCTAGACATTGTAATTCACAAAGGTTTGTCAACATATGGGGCTCAATCATTTTTAACCGTTTCTGTCTTGTCTTTGAGCCTCTCACTGATCGTTCTTGCTGGGTTGTTTTTTTTTTTTTTGTGGTGGTGGTGGCGCTTGTTTGTCTTTTGAGATTTCTATTTTGTATTTGGTGTGAGTGTAAAAATGATGACTGGGGAGGAATGACTAGTAATAGCATGTTTGCTTTTTTATGCATATGCTGCTTTGGAATGTGACTGCTTATAATTAACATTTAATCTTCTTATAGCAAATGGTTCTTTGCTGCTTCGATTACCAGTTTCAGCCTGTTCCTGCATGCTAACAATATGAAATTTTAGAACAATGCATGGTCTCCAGAACAGCCAGCAATAACCGTTGCAAACAGTTCCTGAGAGGCACTGGGTTGAAGTTGTGTTTCCACCTGAAGCCCTTATCAAGTACGAGGTTTAAAATCACCCATTATGATGGGCTTACCTCTGACAGAATCATTTCAAAAGTTATTCTGCCTCATCCTCCCTCCCCTTGTCCTTAAAGACGGTATATATAGAAGAACTCTCTTTCCCTATAAATGTGTCAGATTCTATTATTATATATGAACCCAAAATGGCAGTATGGAAATGAAAACCAGGGACTGTTGCTAATGAGAAGCATAGCATTTCAGAGTTTGATGGGCTTCTCTTCTGCTACAGCATTTGATTAAATTTTTTTCAAAACAATTTATTTACAGTAAAACGAAAAATTATCTTTGTTTCCCTCCTCTGTGTAAATAACAAATCAATATTTCCAGTAAAAGAACCGAGCCAAAAATAAGCGAGCGGTCTACAAGTTGTCCATCAGATCTGGATGAGTGTAAAATAATTTTATTTTGGTGTCTTCAGCTGAAGACTTTTTCCTCTTTCTTGACTTCAACTACTACCGTTTGGGGTGTCTGGGCATTCATGCCATACCTTCTAAAGTCTTCCAATTCAAATGCTATAGTGGAATTTTTCTTTTCTTTTTTTTCTTTTTTGGTAAAAGCTCAGCTCAGGAATGATGTACCACGCATTGAAGAGGGCTGGGGCTGCATGATGTTGATCTGAACAACCAGCTAGCTAGGATGCTAAA